GTCAGCAGCGCCCCATCCCCACTATACACAGTGTTAATGGTGCACCGCTTCCTCCTCCTGAGCGGTGGACCAGAATTTCCTCGAAGCCCTCCGGAAGTCGGCTTCCGTGGCCTCCCGAACTCTTCCACACCAGTTTTTGGGGCTGAGCCAGCGAGGCCCACCTCCACACCTGGCTCCAGAGGGGGGCCCCGGTGACCCGCATCCAGGTAAGGGAAAACGCTGTCCAATGTTTTCGTTCATCATAAGAGTCGATGAGCCATGCTTTGTCTGGTCCCTCACCTAGGATCTGTAACCACACATTTTATTTCACGTACACACACAAATACATAGTGGAGTGTCTGTCATGTGACCCAATCCAAGATTAAATATCGGCTTTCATGGTTCTGAAAGGAGCTGCTTTTAGTTCTCTTTCTGTGTGCTGTTCTAAAAATACTGTCTTTTTAAAATGTGGCCAAAAATTGCAATACTTTAGATTTATTTTTATATGTAATGCCCCCGCATGGTAACCATATGTTGGGCAGGTCCTTCATCCGAGGAAGTGAACACAAACACCTTCATGGCGGAGAAGCCGTCCAAGCATGGCTACTGCCGGACGCACTGTACGCCCTCAACAGGGTGTCCTGTCACAGCCAGAGAGGAAAAACATGACAGATTGGTGGCTCACGAGAGATTAACAACCTGCAACCTTTAAATGGGTTAAATTTGTATTGACGTTTTAAAGATTTCTGTCCATTTTTATTTTATAGTTATGCAATGTGCATTACCTGTACATCCACATCAACAATTCTGGTTGATGATGACAAATTGTTTTATGGACCACTGGCCCAGCATTGCACTTGGGTGTTGACTGACCCGAAACCGCTTGATCCACACAGTGACAACATGATCGTAGATCACGTCCTAGATCATCAAAACTATTGTGACCCAGACTATTGTGCTTTGTTTGAGTTGCACTTAAGCTTCTTTTGCTTGTCTTCCAATTTCTCCGAGTTTGATTGACTCCTTCTGCCTTTAGCACCTGCTCACTTCCATCACCAGTGTCTTGCGATTACAACTCTGATCTTAGTTGATGATTAGTTATGATTGAAATATTTTAAATCTAACAATCTCTCAACGGGGTGAACGCATCCACATGATGGTAGGTCTCTTGTTGACGTAGACCTTTTGTTGAGGAGGAAGATTCTTCATCCATTGTGTTGACCAGACTTTCAATCGAAGACTCTTCACTGTAGCCATCCCTCGGTTCACAAGGCAAGACATTTCTTCAAGGTTGTGTCACCTTATTTCCAGATTGATATCATGAGAAACAGAGTGTAGTCATTGAAGATTGTGGAAAACTAAGTCAAAATGAATGCAGTGTCAAAGATCAAGACAATTTACAGTGAAGCATAGAACTGTCAGACCATACACAAGGCGCATCAGATTTTAAGGCATGCTGTGAGCTTTTAAGAAAATGGAAGGCTTTTAGGTGCGCCTTTTAGTCGGGAAAATACGGTACAATTTCCTGTGTCAATCAGGTTCCAATACATCCTGTGTGCCACACACCTGTTTTATTTGTGCGAGGAGTCAGAATGTATTTACCTTTTCCATTTCACCCTTTCCAAGTCTTCCTACCTTTTTGACAGTTCTGATTGTTGTCTGCATAAAAGTGTTGTTTTTTTTGTTTGTTTGTTTGTTTTTTTTTAGTAACAGGTGCCTCCACACAGCTCACCATGTGGTGATAAAAAGCTATGAAGCAGGTCGACAGGCGCGCATGGATTCATTGGGCTCCCTTCACAGACAAGAAGTCAGTGCACGGAAGACATCATTTCACAACAGTCGCATCCTTGAAGCTGAAGGTGTACTTAAATTAGAACCGTTTGGAATCACAGCGTTATGCAGTATGACATATGGTTGTCAGATGTTAGGTCTGCAAGCAGTTTGTACACACAGCAAAGATCTTCAACGAGTTGGTGAATGCATGTGCATATTTGCATGTTTCATTGCAAATATGCACCCCCCTCCATTACAGTAAATAAAAATTTAAAATATTTATTACAATTTGTTGGAAATAAGTTCTGAAGAGTACTTTTAAACACACAGAATGTGAACAAAATTCATGTATGGCATATGACCGCAGTGCATCGAAGAGACGTTTTCAATATTTCACCTGTACCAAATGTTGCTCCATGAGAGGGTCACAAAGTTAGAAACACTAGTCGGTGTAGTTTTGTGGCCTGTGAATGTGATAACCAACATTAAAAAAAATAATCATAATAACCGAGATGCGTGTCCCACACCGTCATGCTAATGATGTCAAACTTCGACCTCTCCCGGGCGGTATTTTCTTGTGTGGGCCAACCGCATGAGAAAGTACGTGAAGCCTTACGACAGGTTGCAGGCAGTAAAGGTTATGATCGTAGTGGATGTGTCTTTGTTTGGAAAAGTTAAACCCCATTTCAAAGTGTCAGTTAAACATTTCCTAGGACTGAACAAAGTGTATTTTGTCCGAACGTGATCATAACATCTGGTGCGAGGTACATCCTCAGTGGTCCAGATGGCGTGACTGTCGTCACTGGGGCAGTATTTCCTCTCACCTTCCTCGAAATATGACATCTTTGCTTTCGTCTAGGCTCTCTCCATCTCCTTCATGTCTTCACTCCAGCTATTTCACAGATAGCATGAATGTGCGTATGCAGACTTCCCACCTCATTCTGATATCACACGTACTGTGCCAGGCCATTCCACTGTAAATAAGCTTCAATATGTTCAGTTTTTGCACAGATACTTGCATATTGACTTTTGGAGAAAAAGTGTCACACATATATTCACAGGTAAAAGATCTTAAATCATATAAGATATTCACAAGCTATCATTTCCATGAAACCTTTAGATCATTTACGTGAATGGTGCACCACCCAGGACATGTTTTTGGTTTTTGCTAGCTGGCTTTTCTAACCCAGAAAAGAAGTGGAAGTACGGAATTTCATCATATTGTCATCTGACCAACATTTAAGCAACAGTGACTTTTTTTTTTTACTCACATCAAACAATACACGTTTAAGTTGATGTTTTATGATAATTTGTAAGCGAAAATATCAAAGAGCTGGAAAGATAATCTTGAGGTGCTTCGCATCATATACAACACTTGAATCGAGCAATTTTAAAAGTGAAGTCAGGGGAGCAATGCTGCACTGCTGGCAGCGCCCGTTTGTGTCATGTTGAGCTTGAAGAAGACCAATGGAAGAGGCATGAGGCGGCATGGTCCGCAAACACAGCCACACAGTGAAGTTCATGGGACAACTATTTAAGTAGAAAGCTCTCGTCCACTCACTGCCAGAATATACTGTATAGTCTACATGCTATACTGTCCACACAAAGAAAGGGCCTTGAGTGGATGATCGAATGAAATGTTATCTACAAAAAGCTTGTTCGTTATGTTTCAAGGTCCCCTACTGAAAATGATTTAGCTTGGGAAGGCCACATCATTCACACACAGGACACAAGCCAATGCTGAAACAAGCCATGTCTTTTACATTAGAAAAATCTGACTGCACACCAAATAACAATATTATAAAAAAAATATTATCTCTTCTCGATTAACTCACAAAAATTCCCTTAATCTGTGGGAAACCTGGATTTTTAGTGGCTGACATTCTATTATATAGCAACAGGTTAACTGTACCCGAGCCATCTTGTTGAAGGATATTAATTGTTCCACTTCTCAGTATATGTCACCAGCATATATGTCGATGATGCGTATATAGAAGATACTTTTTTTTTTTATCCAATAAAGTAAGTGTATTTTATTTAAACTGAATGGCACTTTTTAATTTAGTGGGTGAGACATCAAGTTCGGCGGCACGGTGATTGACTGGTTAGCATGTCCGCCTCACAGTACAAAGGTCATAAATTCAATTCCAGGCCTTTCTGTGTGGAGTTTGCATGTTCTCCTCGGGCCTGTATGGGTTTTCTCCGGGTACTCTGGTTTCCTCCCACATTCCAAAAATATGCACGTTAAGTTAATGGCACACTCTAAATTGGGCCTAGGTGTGAGTATGAGCGCGAATGGTCTTTGTGTGCCCTGCGATTCGCTGGCAACCAGTTCAGGGTGTCCGCCTGCCTACTGCCGGAAGTTAGTTGGGATTAGGCTCCAGCACGCCCGTGGCCCTCGTGAGGATCAGCAGATTAGAAAATGGATGGATGGATGGATGGATGGATGGATGGATGGATGGATGGATGGACATCAAGTAAAAGGCAGACTTCAATTACCTAAAAGGACAATAAAATGACACCAAAGACACCAGATATGGAGGAGCCTGATCCTTGAGAGCTCTGTAAGTGACAAAATGGTAAACTATTGTATTGAATCCTAAAATGAAAGAGTGAAGAAAGTGAATATGTCCCACGGCACACCTGATGATCTCTCACGGTGTTGGGAATCGCTGGTACAGATTGATGACTGGTTCTGTCACCGAAAATTGCTCATGTGTAAATATATCCTTGTGTCTCAGCGGGGGCCAAACCACAACACAACCTCTGAGCAGATGTGATGACCTCCGTGCCAGGCTCCCACCGATCCAAGCTGATGACCATCCAAAATTTTCCGGACATATCCATTTATGGAAACAGTCAAGATCCCTGTGGATGTTGCGGGCTTTTCCATGTGTGCCCTCCCAAGAAGGGCCCAAAGAAATGGGTCAAAGGCTCATCATGCCTAGTGGCAGATGGCCCAAAGAGAATCCCCACATGATGACAAACATCCTGAACTACGAAATGGAATCTTCCAATCATGTAGCCCACAGGGGAAAAGGAACCATCCTTCCAACCTCTATTAATTTTTCTTGACTATTAATATATGTCTGCACAACACCTGTCCATTGTGAGGGGCAAACCACACCAAATGAATGGATTTTTTTCCGCCATTTTAAATCATTATCTTTGTCTATATTCTTTCTATCTATGTTTTTAGCCAGCATGTCTTGATGGGTACTCATTACAGTGTTCAGGTTTTCATTTAATGCCATACAGTAAAACAGTATTACTGGTCTTGTTTGGATTTTAGGGTATAAATTGTCCCACGTGGAATCCCTTTTGGCAGCAGGTCCTCCTCAAACACACTGGGCGTCACATTCCTCGCTATTGGTCGTCATGGTGGCCACGGGACAGCTCCTCTATATAAGGTCCTCCCCTCCTCAGTCCTGAGGCACAACGACAAAGAGAGTACAACCTTCTGCTTTCACGCAAGTTAGAGACAGAGAGAGGAGGGAAACGTCAACCCTCAATCCTAGGACTCAAACGAGCTTCAGTATAGACACTTTCTAAACAGAAGAATTTTTTTTTCCCCCAGCACTGCATGCTGAAACTATGACTTCTTTGTGTGATAGAGCTCTTTTTCTCATATGCTTGACTGCACAGGTAGGAATCCAATTTTTCAAAAAAATCTTCGAAAGTCATGTTTTCTTTTTTTAAACTGTGAGCAGCCCTTAAAATGTTATTTAAATATCACGATTACACATATAATTAGAACCTTTTAATTCACATTTTGACCTGGTAAATTGTTACCAGCCTTTTTAAAATACTGTATACAATTTAAATAAATACAACACTCATGAACTTGTCATTCTAATCAGCATCGCAGCTGATTGGCTAAGAGAAATGGCAAGGATCATGGAGTCCATTTCAACTTAAGTTACTCACCTTTTCTTCACAGTTTGCTTAATTGTTCACGGCAGTTAAATGTGTTTACTTTGCCATCTTTACATCGCTGACAAAATGTTATGCATTCCACCTTCACGCATTTATTCCTTACGTTTTGAAAATGTACACACATTGGAGAAACATTGTTTTTATGTTTCCCCCAATCAGGTGTTTACATTAGCCCGGTCCCAAGTGTGTCCACAAAGATGCCAATGCCCGGAGGAGCCCCCCATCTGTCTCCCCGGGGTGCCCCTTATCCTGGACGACTGCGCCTGCTGCCTTGTGTGCGCTCGCCAGAAAGGTCAGGCTTGTTCCGAAACGAATCCCTGTGACTCACGGAAAGGCCTGCAGTGCGACTTCACCTCAGGAGAACACAAAAAGACGGGCGTATGCGTTGGTGAGTCAGACTGCGCAGTATCCGGATATTGAGATATTAGATATCATTGAAAATAAATACAACATGATTCCTGGTTGTGCGACGGTCTTTGTCTTCCAGCTCATGAAGGAGACGTCTGTCTTCTGGATGGTGTGGTCTACCAGAACGGCCAGACTTTCTTCCCCAGCTGCAAACACCAGTGCATGTGTCGCGAGGGGCAGATCGGCTGCATACCGCGCTGCAACGTTGACGTCATGCTGCCGGGGCCCGACTGCCCAATGCCACGCCGAGTCCACGTCCCTGGCGAGTGCTGCGAGAAATGGGTGTGCGATTCCCCAGCTGAAGCCAGTGCACTGGGAGGATTTGCTATGGCAGGTAGGCATGCATTTTATTCGGTGCAATCTGGTAACATCCATCCAGATACAAGAGTTGCACCAACGGTCTGCCTTTACCAAGATAATAATCCTGATATCTGATTGAGAAGGTTGGAGATTTATTTCTTGTCTAGTTCAGGGTTCATTGACATTTTTTGAAATTGAGGGCTACTTCTTTGGCACTGATTAATGCGAAGGGCGTCCACTTCGCTACACAATACTGAAATCATACAGTATATATTTTAAAAACACTGGACAACAATTTTTAAAAATTGAAGCAGTGAAGGAAGTAAACTTTTCTGAATGATTGTTTTTTTCTTGCACATAATAATAATATAATATGTTCGACAGTTACCATATTTTCCACACTATAAGGTGCTTCGGAGTACCTTCAATGAATTTTAAACCAGTTTTCATACATAAGGTGCATGGAGCAGAAGCTACAATAGTGGCTGCGGTTGCGGTATGCATCCACTAGATGGAGTTACGCTAACGGGAATACAATACAATACAGCTTTATTTATGTAGAGCATTCACAACCGCTGCAGCTGAAACAAAATGCTTTACAGAACACTTAAAATACTACATCCAAGAAATCAAATATCAGAATATTGACTCATATAAAAAGCACATCGGATTATAAAGTGCACTGTCGACTTTTGAGAAAATTGAATGCTTTTAGATGTGCCTTATAGTGCAGAAAATACGGTACGGCGATTGGCTGCCAAACAGTTCAGGGTGTACCCCTCAAAATGCAATAAGGCAGACATAAGAAGATTTTTGTCTTGGATTTCATTTCATGAATGTGCCACATGCAGACACACTGTCTTCCTGAGACTTGGAACACACATTCCTGGCGTCGCACTACTGAGAGACACTCAGAGTTGAAAGGTTATTTACTTAGCTCTGACCTGTCAGAGGAAAAGGCCAGGATGATGCACAACACAGAGGAAAGAAAGTGTTATCACCTCCACCACAAATGTGAAGCACTGATGTGATTCTATGATTTTTGTACTTTTTTTTTAAGGTGAAAGGTTAATTTGAATGTTTTTAACCTGCCTCACCTACATGTGCTCCTGCAGCTTTTCGGCAAGAGGAAACATATCACCTCCACCACAAATGTGAAGCACTGATGTGATTCTATGATTTTTGTACTTTTTTTTTTAAGGTGAAAGGTTAATTTAAATGTTTTTAACCTGCCTCACCTACACGTGCTCCTGCAGCTTTTCGGCAAGAGGAAACGGTGAGCTTTGACTCCTGGGACCCCAGATTGAACTGCATCGAGCAGACCACAGAGTGGGGGGCCTGCTCTCGCACGTGCGGCATGGGGTTGTCCACCAGGGTCACAAACAAGAATCGCCGCTGTGAGCTGGTGAAGCAGAGCCGGTGGTGCATGATCAGACCCTGTCATGACCAGCAGGACCAGACAGCGCTCTCTCAGCCAAAGGTATCCTTGAAGTTGCGCTTATTTTGGGATGGGTGCCAAACAGAAACAAGTAACATAAAGTATACGATTAAAGATTACGCCACCATTAATCAAGGTCAGACAAGATAATAATACTTTTTGAAAGATCTGTAATTCATTAATTGATTAAGACAAGTTTTATGAAGATATTACATTGGCCTGGGGAGAAGAGACTATACATGTGTGTGGAAAATGAACTGTATAGTGGGAGTTAAATATTCAATTAAAATGTGCCTTTCACATTGTGTCCTTAGAGAGGCAGTAAATGCCAAAGAATGGTGAGGAGCGATGCAGCCGTTCACCTCTCCTACAAAAACTGCACCAGCGTCCAGGCCTACAAACCTCGCTACTGCGGCTCCTGCACAGACGGCCGTTGCTGCACCCCACACAGAACCAAGACCGCCCTGGTGGAGTTCACGTGCGCCGGCGGTAAAACCAGCAAGAGGCCGGTCATGGTGATCTTGACCTGCGTCTGCCACAGAAACTGCCCGCGGGATAATGCAGTGTGGCAGCCTTCGGAGCTGGGCTACAGTGGGATGACGGTATAGGTCAAAGCTTTTGTCATTACAGGCAATGACTGAATTCATGATTTGGAATTTTTTGTGCAAAATCTTGAACATGAGTTGTATCAACTCTTCTTTAGTCCAAAATATGCAAACATGTGACGATGTGGACTCTTCTGTGCACAAATGAAAGTCAACTTTGATTTAGAGTGAAAGCACTTAGCACATGTGACGTAATGAGTCTCTCCTCTTTTGGAGATCAGATTTAGAAAATGAACGACAATGGATATTCATCACAGATTCACAAGGTATCCTGAGAGCATTTATGGGACAACACAGGACAGAGTCTACGCTGTGTGAGTGTTGGTCAGCGAATTGGATAGCTTCAGTTAGCCCTGCGGATGTGTTAGTGTAAAATAAAAACTGAAATCAATATGTAACCCCTTTTCTGAGAGTCAAAAGTGTCATGTAAAAGTGTTAACATAAGTTCCAATACATTATGATTACTGTAGAGGTGTGTAGTTTCCAAGTATGGGATGCCTTGTTAAAATAACTGGACCGTGCTCTATGACCTGGCCCTAAAGAAAGGGCTCAACCTTTGATCAGAGGTCATTATTGGGACTTTGTGTCATTTCTAACATCTGCCTGATGTCCTCCCTTGTTGTGTCTGTCTATTAACACAATAATAGCTGCATATTTAAGTCCTAGTATGAATGACAAAGGTTCTTGTTAAAACTTGCTGTAACAGTTTTTTTTCTTTGTGCGTGTGTGTGTGTGTGTGTGTGTGTGTGTGTGTGTGTGTGTACATGTTTGTGTGCGTGTGCGCGCCTATGATTCACATTCTTCACTCATAATAACTGTTTTGTTTTTTGATAACTTTTGTCTAACCCCTCTCTGCCTACGGGTCCGTAAAGGCCTTTAAAAATAAATGTATTTTTGTATCAAAGAGGTATTCTGTTGTTGCCCACAACTACAGAGTTAATCTATTATTTATCTTATGTTAGGGGTGTCCAGACTAGGGCTCAGATGTTATTTGCAGCCCACTGTCTGTTTTTAGCGACATATACCAAAATTAACGATTGACATTACCTGTGTCATTTTCCTGCATTCTAATGAAGCGCCCCCAGTTCTTAAAAGTTCCACTTTTGTCTTGTCAGGCCACGGAATATTTCTTCCAATGTTTTTGTGATCATTAAGAACAAATGTTATTTTTAGTTTTTTCACGGGGAGGGGGGGGGGCACTGGTTTTCACTTTGGACGTCTCCCATGACTGGCATTTTTGGATGGGGTCTTTATTGTTCAGTCCAGAACTCCATCTTTAACTCAAGACAGTAAGGCCTGTAGTTCTTTGGATGTTGTTTTGAGCTCTGTTATAGCCTCCTGGATGAGTCTTTGCACTTACGGAGTCGTTTTAGTTTACTGATACTTCTGGGAAGGTTCACCACAAATCATTGAATATGGCTTGTATCCCGGGTCCGTAAAGGCCTTTAAAAATAAATGTATTTTTGTATCAAAGAGGTATTCTGTTGTTGCCCACAACTACAGAGTTAATCTATTATTTATCTTATGTTAGGGGTGTCCAGACTAGGGCTCAGATGTTATTTGCAGCCCGCTGTCTGTTTTTAGCGACATATACCAAAATTAACAATTGACATTACCTGTGTCATTTTGCTGCATTATAATGAGGCGCCCCAGTTCTTAAAAGTTCCGCTTTTGTCTTGTCAGTCCACGGAATAGTTCTTCCAACGTCTTTGTGATCATTAAGAACAAATGTTATTTTTAGTTTTTTCGGTTTTTAGCTGTGGGGGTGGGGGGCCCTCACTGGTTTTCACTTTGGACGTCTCCCATGACTGACATTTTTGGATGGGGTTTTTATTGTTGAGTACAGAACTCCATCTTTAACTTAAGACAATGAGGTCTGTAGTTCTTTGGATGTTGTTCTGAGCTCTTTTATAGCCTCCTGGATAAGTCTTTGCACTTACGGAGTGGTTTTAGTTTACTAACTTCTGGGAAAGTTCACCACAAATCGTTGGAATTGGCTTGTCTCCTTTTCTGAACTAATATTAATGTCTTTGTGTCTTGTTTGTTTTCAACCTGATTTGTATTGTGGAATAATTGCTGGGGTGAGGGGTAGATCTAGTGGTCCATTTCATTTTGTCTCATCGATACTGTTTAAATGATTTTTGCATTCAACAAATTTGGTGGTAATCACGTGTGGGTGTGACCACTGGCCAGTGAAACCTAACTCAGCTGTCCAAACAATGCAGTTAACCACACTTAACTCATAATTTAACAAGAGGGGTAAACAATTATTTTTTCAAATGGGGGCGATAGATGGCAACGGCAGTTCTTTTGACTGGACTGACTCTCTACAGAAGCTTTTCATTTAAAAGATTCGCCCCAAAAGATTCACAGACCTGAGTTCCTCATTAAGTCCACGAATCAGCCCTAAATGATCATTAAGAACAAATGTTATTTTTAGTTTTTTCGGTTTTTAGCTGTGGGGGTGGGGGGCCCTCACTGGTTTTCACTTTGGACGTCTCCCATGACTGACATTTTTGGATGGGGTTTTTATTGTTGAGTACAGAACTCCATCTTTAACTTAAGACAATGAGGTCTGTAGTTCTTTGGATGTTGTTCTGAGCTCTTTTATAGCCTCCTGGATAAGTCTTTGCACTTACGGAGTGGTTTTAGTTTACTAACTTCTGGGAAAGTTCACCACAAATCGTTGGAATTGGCTTGTCTCCTTTTCTGAACTAATATTAATGTCTTTGTGTCTTGTTTGTTTTCAACCTGATTTGTATTGTGGAATAATTGCTGGGATGGGGGCTAGATCTAATGGTCTATTTCATTTTGTCTCATCGATACTGTTTAAAATATTTTTTGCATTCAACAAATTTGGTGGTAATCACATGTGGGTGTGACCACTGGCCAGTGAAACCTCACTCAACTGTCCAAAAAATGTGGTTAACCACAGTTAACTCATAATTTAACAAGAGGGGTAAACAATTACTTTTTCAAATGGGGGCGAGTGATGGCAACGGCAGTTCTTTTGACTGGACTGACTCTCTACAGAAGCTGTTCATTTAAGAGATTCGCCCCAAAAGATTCACAGACCTGAGTTCTTCATTAAGTCCACGAATCAGCCCTAAGGTTCGCATTCCCACTCAAACCTATTTCTCAAATCATAGGCATTCTCAGAGTAGTAATGTCTAAATACTGTATAATAACAAGGCTCAAACTGGAGTACCTTTCATTTCTGCCTGCATTTTCTTCTGTGTCCAGCAGTAGACGCTAATGTTTCATTAAACATGGTATGCCTTCCACTGCTATGCTGATGACTTGTCAGATCTATGTCCCGCTGAGCAAAAAAGACGCTTTCTCATTGAAGTCCACTTTTATCCTGTCTGGAGGAAATCAAGACCTGGATGGCACAAAATGTCTTGAATTTCAATGAAAAGAAGACAGAAGTGACGCTGTTTGGTCCCAGTCCCTTGTACATTCCATCCTGCGGAATTGGGCTTTAAATTGCTGCCGTTGTTAAATCCAGCTTTTTTCATCTTCGTCAGCTGGCTAAAGTAAAGCTTCTCCTTTCTCTAGAGCACTTTGAAACAGTAATTCGTGCCTTCATCACATCCCAGTTGGATTACTGGAACGCACTTTACTTTGGAGTTAGCCAATCCTCCAGTAAGCGTCTCCAGTTGGACCAGAATGCTGCTCAACTATTGACTGGAACTCGTAAGAAGGAGCACATAACTCCTACTCTGGCATCCCTTCACTGGCTCCCTATACATTTTAGTGTTCTTGTTAATATCCTATTATTTGTTTTCAAATCTTTAAAAAGCCTAGGCTCACCTTACCTCTCTGAGCTCCTCCACCCCGACACACCTGCCTGGTGCCTCAGATCCAGACACTATTTGAGGTACCAAGAACTAAGCGGAGGCTCCTAGGGTATCAAGCCTTTTCCGTTGCTGGTCCATCTCTTTGGAGTGACCTCCCACTGAACGTTCGGCAAGCTCCCTCGCTGCCCATCTTCAAAGCTCATCTTAAAACTCATTTTTATTCTTTGGCTTTTGACTCTGCATGACTCAGACTTGATTTTTAGTTTGACTGTTTTTTGTAGTTTCTACTGTCTTTGTTATTCATTTATTGTTTTATTGTTTGTTATCTGAATTATTTTTGCTCCATGTCCAGCACTTTGTATACAGCGGTGGTTGTTTTAACGTGCTCTATAAATACAATTGAGTTGAGTAAACACGACAATTGCGCAAGACGTCACCACTTGCATTTCAATTGACAGCAGTAATATACCTTTCTGGTTACCTTCTTTGATCATGACTGTTTTTTCAGGTACGGCGCTAAACCGAGACTAGGAGATAGTCAGAAATCTGTGTAGTCTCGGTAAATCCCCTCCAACATTGTATTTTACATTTAAACATGTTTCTTATTCATTTAGGATAACAAAGTTTAAAAACATGAAGAAGTTCACAAGTAGCCATTTTGTTCCAATTCAATCCCTGTTTCCATGTTGGTGCTGCGCGTGTGCCCTGTGTGTGTTTGCGAGGGGCGGGGGAAGTCTTTCGTTTTCTTCCACAATTAGTTTGCTTTTGCCCTGTGCTCACCTGAAATATTTTTTTTTCCTTTTTTAATATATTGTTTGGACAAATTCAGTTTGAAAAAATTAACATGTGTGTACTGTATGTTGTGCTTCTAAAAAAAACTGCAAAATAAAATAAGTGATGATTTTTTTTTCTGAGAAGCAATAACGTGTCTACCTTTTTGAAGAATTGTTTGCTATCTGCGAAATTTGTTGGCATGGTACTCAAAAAAATGGCCGCAATGGCGGCTCATGTCATGAAAAACTCTTGAGTTGGGTCACTCGTAAATCCAGGTTTAGGGAAAAATGACCTCGTCTCGCATGAATTGAAGACACAACTAAAGAGATCTTCAACAGCTCTAACATTCAGTGGAAAATCATGTCGAATGTCTTCCTACCACTACACGTAGCTCACATGGACAAATGAACATTATTTGTCGTGAATAAATACAAATTTTCCCCGAACAATGAAACGAAATGGGACAATTTCCCAAGATACACCTGATGATCTCTCATGTAATACTTCTGTGCAAACTTGACTTGAATTGTGATGTAAGGCCAAAGAGCATGGGAACATTTGTTCCTGCAGTAGCTCCCATTTTCAAACAGCAATTAATTATCAACCTTTGCATACTTTTGTTAAGACCACCTTTTTCTGCTTGTTATTTTTTTTATGTTTTGAAGGTCATTACCACAACAAAGAATGTGCATTGAAGTGGATATCTCATTTCCATATAAAAGTTTGTTTTTTTTAAAAAGCCGAGCTGCTACACCACACCTCATTAACGCAAATATTCTGTGAAAATTTCTCTCTTTCTTCAAATCAACCATATCCCATCTTTGCTTGTTTCACTTCTAATGAAGGACTTTTACTTGGGGGAAAAACCTGTCTCCCGAAATTGTCTGTGCAGTTTTGTGCAGTAATTGACTACAGTTTGACTCTTCATCGGATTCAACCAACCAATTTCCGGCTTTGTTTGAATTGAAAACTTCATGAAAGTCCCCCACGTCCACACCATTTTTTTTTCAGAAAACATGAAAAACACAACCAAATTCTGATTTCTTTGTGATATTTATGAACAATTTCGGAGGATAACCGAATGATCCCTTTAACAAAATATGTAGCCGATGTTAGCAGAGGTGGCCAGCATCATGAGATATTTAAGGCATTAAAAAAATCTGACTAAGGTTAAGGTGACGATACATGTATATGGTACAGTATACGCTTAATGTCGTAAAAGTAAGTGTTCCATCACACCAGTAGGTGTCAGAGCAACATCACTCACGTAATAGTTTTTTTTTTAGAAAGTTCCTCCACACATGCTGTTGTGCTGTTGAACAGCATGTGTGCATCCAGTGCAGATAATCTTATTTTCATTATTATGATGGTTACGATGATGATGACGATGATTAAAAAAGATCTTTCTTCCTTTCTTCCTTCCTTTCTTTCTTTCTTTCGAAATGTCAAAAAACCGGAACAAGCGCATTCCTTGAGGCGCGCAACCGACCCCACGCCTCCATCCGTGCACGCACACGCACACAACGTACAGACAGCAAAGGATTGTGGACTTCAATTCTACTTACTTATTGCCGTTTAAAACCAAATAGTATCTACATTTTGACATGATCAAATCATCGTTGATTGAAAACGCCAAATCTAGTGTTCTACTTTAGATAATGCGGTGATATGCTATGTGCCGCCACAATGACAATTTTGGACGGTGCAAATGAGGAAGTGCACGTTTGGGGGTTCTTCATTCTCTCGTAGCTCCATGCGAGTGTCAAAATGTTGGCACGTCGTGCACACGGAGGTTCCGCAGGTATGATCGCCTGATAGCCGGGAGCAAACTCCACCCAACACGCGCACACGCACACGCGCACACAACCTGTGGCCGAGTGCGGCGCTAAATACGTGCTGCTCGCACAGAGTCGCGTGGAGAAAAGTTGTGTGGGTCAAAGTCCGGAAGCTCGGGAGCAAGCGGGACGTGTGCTGAAGACATGCTTCAAACATGGCCGTAGTTGCAGCGAGCGTGCAGGAAAGTGGATTTGTGGAGGTTTTGGTGCGGGCTCGCTGGCACAAAGTTTGGGTGCACTTAAACGAGGAGGCGCTCACGTTGAGCTGCGAGGACGACGCCGTCAACTCCAACGGAGTCGTCACCAATGGATCCTACCTCGACAACAACAACTCGAACAACGGTCCGAGGCTGCCGGACCAGCTCAAACCCGTGCCGGAGACCATCGCCAACAGGAAGCGGTGCGTTAAGGTGACCAAGCAGGACGTCGGCGGACTGGGGATCAGCATTAAAGGCGGCAGGGAGAATAAGATGCCCATCCTGATCAGCAAGATCTTCAAGGGGTTGGCTGCGGACCAGACGCAGGCTCTGTACGTTGGGGACGCCATCCTGTCCGTGAACGGGGTCAACCTGAGGGACGCGAGCCACGACGAGGCGGTGCAGGCGCTCAAACGGGCAGGCAAGGACGTGACCCTGGAAGGTAAGCGGCAGCATCATCGTGGTGATGGGCACACCCAACGTGGCGAGTTTCGACAACAATAATCACAGTTGTCGAAGACGGAAGATATTACTGGCATGGTAGTCCCTGTGGGTGCATTCTAGTTGTATTTGTAGGCAGTGGTGTGCTGTCAGGGCCAGCAAGGGCTCTTCTGCTGGCCCAAACACTACCATGCCTACTTTTCTACCTAAATTCCATTTGTGATCCATGAATGTTATTCTTTTATTCGGAATATTGTATTCTTTACATTTTGTAGCATTTCTCTTGGCTCTGTTGTTTTCAGTAGCGACATGTAGATTGTAGAATTATTTCTTTTTTGTCCTATCAGATTTCAGAACTCCAGACTACATCGTCATTCTAATCTGCCTCGGTCTCCAGAATCAGTAGTGTTGGCTGATGGAATTTCAATTTAATTAACAATGGGACTGTTTCTTGAACCAATCAGATTTCAAATACGCCCTCCTGGCACCCTTGTTGACCTTAGCGTTTTTCCATGATTAGCTGGCTAGAGGAAAAACACTTTAACAGCCGATTTTGGCAAACGACAAACATTTATTATTATTACAGTATTATTATTATTATTATTATTATTATTATTATTACTATTATATCATAAATTGTGTTTTTCGTTTTTGCCATGTTGAACTTGTTCGCTAAATATTGATAATGTATGAGCACAGTGAGTGTTACATTGCATCCTTATATAGTATTGCTGGTTTGTATTGTTGCAATGTGTCAGAGATGCTCACTCGGACAGTTGAACAGAGACTGGACCCAGGAACAGATTGTCTTTGACTGCCAGGCAGGAGGTAAGGTTTTGAGAAGTGAGCACGAGTTAGTGCGCAATGTGATAGTAGTAGTAATCAAAAGTGGACGAAGTCGGGTAAATCCCAAATGAGGGCCATGTACCAAATGTGTGGTTCGCCACTGACTTTAGAGAACATGTGTCAAGTCACAACCACATCAGTTTATTTGGTTCGCAAAGATGTGTCACAATTTTTTAAAAACAAACTGTAAATGATAAACACAGTCATGTGGTTGGGAGATTATTACATTTACCACACATATAAAGAATGAAAAGAATTGCAATGTGCTATAGCCATGTGTCAAATCTGCAAACAAACTCAATGCAGTTGAGGTTCTGGCTATCAGATGTCATCCATTTTTCAATCCGCTTATCCTCACTAGGGTCGCGGGGCATGCTGGAGACTATACCAGCCGTCTTCGGGCAGTAGGCGGGGTACACCCCGAACTGGTTGCCATCCAATCGCAGGGCACACATAGCCCAACAACCAAATTAATCAATCAGATGGCTGTTTTGATCATGTTTAAAACTTTATTTCAAGTTTCTTTTAAGAGTGCCTTTGTTTTAGGAATTAAAACAGTTGGACTCGGTCGAGTCAAGAAAAATATTCTGCGAGTCCAGTGGTCAAGTCCAAAACAAGTCCAAGTGAAGTCTCAATGAGACAGAGTCAAGTACGTGACAAAAAAAGTGTCGAGTCCAAACGCAAGAACTACAGCTCTGCAATATTTCTTAAAACACTGCTTTTCGAGTGTTTACGATGATGATTTGAGCCAGTAACCTATAGAGTTTTCAATCATGTGATTTGTGTTTGTTTGTCTGCCTCAGACCGGGAGGATAAGCTCGGAAAGAGTAGGTGACCTGTTTGTTCTCATTCGTTCTTTTTGTATCGGCTCCATTTTCAGTTTCCATTCTCCTTAGATGTGCTAAAATGAGACCTAAAAATTGGAGGGAGTCAGCTGCCATTCAGGCAATCCAATGATCCAATGATGATGATAATGATTAAAAGCTGACCTTCAACCAAGTTTTCAGAACAAACAGGGATGCTCAGATTTGCTATCTGGCCGGAATGATATCAGCTCTGCTGATTTGTGAAAGCCAGTTGTTTCCTTCCGTTCAATTTTCTCACTTTGTTTAAAAATTGGTGATAAAAAAAAAAAAAAAAAACTCAATATGCACCGGAACAAAACAACACGTTGATCTCCATCACGGTGGCCGTGGTGTGATATCACAGGAAAAATATCTATTATTTGTCTATGGAGGTGCCACTGTATTTTTCATTGGAGCACAAAAAAATGTGTTCTCTTTCTCGAAATGCTCTTGCTTAACCAGACCTTCCCTGAGAGGCACATTCGTGTTTAAATTCCTTTTGCTGCTTTTTTTTCCCGATGCAAGGCGCAAATCTGTTGAGTTTCCTGCTTTCTCACTCACTCAAGCACACACGAGTTTACCGACATAAACAGTTGCTTTTAGAAGATGAAAATTGGGCTGATAGAAGATTACTCTGAAAGCTCAACAGCATTTTGCACACACACACACACACACACACACACACACACACACACACACACACACACACACACACACACACACACACACACACACACACACACACACAGGAAAATGGATCATGTAAGTGCCCACTTCTGAGTTTATTCCTGTTCCCATGAGGACTCTTGAATGACGAGTTTCTCCCTCACTCACTCAGTAGCGCACGTGCAATACACACACGGTGATGATCCTTCCTCGGGGAACAAGGGGAACACACTGCAGAGGGGAAACGCAGAATTGAAGAAAAATAGGCAGAGGGAGCCGAGCAGGGGAAGCATGGAGTAGAATTGTGATTTTAATGGAGAAATGTGGAGAGGGAGAGCAAAGCTGCAGGAGCGCTAATAAGGGAGGCGAAGAGAGTGAAGCGAAGATGCGGAGGTAAACTTCAGGGTACATGAGTGCCGGGAGGTTATGGTGCACTCATTTGGGAAAAGCAGTGGATGTGCAGTCAGTAATGGATCTCTGTGAACCTGGAAGGCATCCATCCATCTACCCAAGCATGTATGTTTCATTCCCAGTGAAACGTGATCTGTGATATTCCCAGCGTTCCCTTTAGTCCTTACTGTAAGTCGCTTTCTGAAACTGGAGAGAAGCGGTTAGGACGAGAGAGAGAGATTGAGAGAGGGAGAGATCAAGAAGAAATTGATTGGAGAGGTGAGACATATGTCTTCTCTGCATTTACTTGACGAGTTGGAAACAGTCAGTGCTAAATATACGCAGATGAACGCTTCCGCGGAGATGCTTGTGTACATAAATTAAATGTAAATGGAAGCGGAAGTTAGCTCAAAGAGATATTTTTGGTCGGTGTATTGTGCTCAGGAAGATTGTGTGAGCAAACTTTTCCGTAGGAAATATGATGCACACTATAAGGACAAATGTTTGCGGACACACCTCACGGTTTAGCTTCTGCAAACAATGTTTTTGAAAAGGTCCTTCTACCTGTGCCCCATGCATTAAGTAAGGTCCATAGCGGCATGTTTGGATGACTGGCCCCTAGAGCTCAGGGGTTAAAGTCAAAGCCCGGGGGCCAGATCTAGCCCGCCACATCATTTTATGTGGCCCGCGAAAGCAAATCAAGCATGTCAATTTCCATGACGCTTGCTAAAGTCTGAACCAAAATTTCAAATTGTCATATGTAATCCACAATAACAGTCATTATTCTTGACTTCTTATTTTAAAACTAGTTATCCATCAATTTGTTGTGCGCTGTGTGTGTAATATGTGGAGGTGATTCAACATTGATATGGTTTGCCAAAATTCATAACTGCCCTCCAAGGGAAACCGTAACTACAATGTGCCCCACGACAAAAATGAGTATGACACCCCTGCCCGAAAGGATCATCGTGATCTCACCCCCATCAAACACTTTGGGGATGACTGGAGGCATTTTCATTTATTGAAGGTGAAATGTTGCGAATTTATAAAACAGAGGTCTCAAAGTCATTTTCAAAGCAGGGTGCCCTCAGAGAGCTGTTATAACTGTAAAAATCATATGAATCTTACAATTTCATATCGTCGCTGTCAAGTGGAATTCTTGCTTCTCAAAAAAAAGGAAAAAAAAACAAAATATCAAAAGGCTTGGGTTACGAAAGCGCGCTGCTTGTTCATACTGCTATTATATACCTTATATTGCTATCCTGACAGCACAAAAAGGCTACTTCACAAAAAGCATGCAACTCGCATTATCTTCCCAATTTCATTTTCAGACTGCTCGGATTAGTGTTACAAGACATCAAACAATGAGCTCCGAAAGTAGTGTATATTATTAAGTGGAAATGATTTTTTCCTTTTTGACTGACACCCTCTCTTCTGCACCAAAGCATTAACAGCTATCCAGTTTTTCACAAAACAGGCTTACTGGCACTCAGATATATCCAACCTTAATTATTTTCACACGGCATTGTCTAAAAGCCATCAAGAATTTTAGTCTTGAAGCGATGTAATGCTGCACGGCCCCCGATGAGTGAGGAAGAGAGACAGTTTATGATCCGTCCCAGTTCAAATTTCAAGAGCGTGAATAGATTTGTTCTCAAGCTTTTTAAAACTACAGTATTTAAATTGGTTAACAATGTGTAAAAATAACAGATGACATGGGGACAGACCAATAGTACTGTATTGATTTGGTGAAAAAATCTGAAATTCACCAAATTTGGACAGAGCGGTATCTGGCCAACAGCGTACATAATTACCCGGGCAATTAATTGCTAATAACAAAATGAATTTGAAATCAGGAGTGATTATGTTAAGAAGGGGATTTGGAATGTCTCTTAAAAGTGAAGACACATTGCGAATGGGTTTCAGATTTTCTTCCAAAATCTATGAACACATAGCTGGAAACATTAGGGAGACAAACTTTAATTTAGGGGGCCACATAAAGCGACGGAAAGGGCGTGAGACTGCTCGGGTACATACAGACAACCATTCACACATCGGAGGAATTTTGGTGTCTCCACTGAACCTAACATGCATGTTTTTGGAATGCATGCAAGCACGAGGAGAACATGTAAACTTCACACCGGAAAGAAGCAACCGATATTTCAACCCTGATTCTGACAACGGTACGGCAGACGGGCTAACCACCATGCTGCGCCTCACACATCATTTTAACGCTTAATTTTCTTTCGATTGT